AATGCGACAGTATAAAGGGATTTTTGGTTATCATAAATTGGTATGACATTAAATTGGCCCCTATGTTGATATTACTTTTTAATTGTTTTTCCAATTGTTATGACTGGACCTAATCTGACTGGGTATAATCGGTAACGTGATACTAATCAAGAATTTTTTTGACAGCGATAAATTATGCGGACTTCATTAAGTTCCCAGTTACCATAGTAGTGGATGGGGGCACTGGGGAGACAATGGGACTTTTAGGTTAAAATAGTGAGTTTCTACTATGGCGGCAAGGGGAATTTAATATAGGTGGGTCTATTTAGCGAAAAGAGAAAAATAGCATAAGGAATGTATAGAGAAAATATATTGGGCTTGTATAGCGACAAAAGAAATCAGAGAGGGGTGACCTCACGGCACTGGACCCTGGGGAAACAATGGAAACAATGTTACAAGTGGCTGACCTCAATCGGTAGGTACAGTGTTGAAAGGGGCTGACCTGAACACGCGATACTCTAGGGACAAACACAACAGAGACACAGAGATAGAAACATGCTTAGTCATATAGCTAGAGATATAGACATAGACATACATAGATTTATCTACAAACAGATATCAACAAACAACTTTACAATCGACTAAAACAAATTTTACTCAAGAATGAATAGTCATCGTATCGAGACATGTGAGTGGTCCTGAAAAGGGCCTTTTGGGTTTTTTTTCACATTCTTTTACTGTCTTTCTTCTCTTTTGCACAAGTTCATTATCTTCTTCACTACATTTGTCTCCTTGTTCTTCTCCTCCTTTTCTCCTCCTCTTCCTCCATCTCCTCTTTTTTCACTGTTCATTTTCTTTCTCTTTCATTTTTCTTCGTTATGTCTTCTTATCTGTTCTTATTCCTCATGATCCTCCTTTTTCTTATTTTTCCTGTCTGATTTGTTCATTTAGTCTTGTTTTTGCTTTCTTCAAAATGTGTTGATTTCCATATTGACTTTGTGAGGGCTATAAGAATCATACTCCAGCCTGGCTAGCATTTCCTCCACCATCCCTAAATCATTCAGTACCCTTTGCAACTTCTATAACTTCTCAAGGATATTGCTCGTCATCTTGGATTATTCAATGTTGAATGGCACGATTGGCGAAATATGTGCTTTGTATACCTCAAACATGAAAGTGAATGAAAACATTCCACACATTAGCTACTCATATAACATACCAAAATAACGTGTAAAGATAATATCACTAACTTAAAAATTTACATACCAGCATGTTATTACCAACAAATAGCTTTATACTTTCTTCCAGCAAATAGGAAAGAAGGAAAGTTTTTATTTACAAAATACACGATCACCTACAAAAACACCAGGCAATTGAGTTATTGTTTGTGCTTACACTATTTTACTTTCACACAAAACAAACACCAATGAGAATAGGATCAATGGCTTTGTTATAGGAAGAAGACACACACACACATACACAAACACTATTACGTCAGCAAAGGAGTCAGTGTTGATAGTCACACTACTTCACTTTCACACAAAATAAATAATTATTAGTTTAGGGACAAGGGTTTTGTTATGGGAAAAAGGCACACACACGCACACATACTTACAAACACTAATATTTTTGACAATTTGATTAGTCTATCTTTTCTAGAGATCTCGTTAGCCCCGAGAAGGGTTTTTTTTTTTATAAAAAAAAATCGAAATGCTCATGGTTAATGTCTTCTCCTCTCAGGTCTGGCCCGACACAAGCAACGGTAATTGAAATACCTGCTATCATCACATCTGATGAGCGAGTTTTATCTTTTCACGAGCTGTGGCAGAACATATATTAACTGTCAACTGTTTGCCGTCTATCATTAGATATTTGATATTGCTATTGTAGTTATTTGTTACTGTCAAATTTTCAAACATTATTTCATTGCTTACACAAAATTACATACTCTAGACACCGAATATGACATCGAGTAGATCTATTTCGCGACAGTGTCCAAGTGCAAGTGTATCAACTCCATTTTCATAATAACATTTGTCATCAAAATTACTCAATCTACGTTTGATAATGACATATGTTTCTAGTTCATGTCGATTCGTTCGAATAGCCATAGCTTTAATAAAACTCAAGCCGCGTACTTGTAATCATAAAATTGCATAAACATTTTAACAAAATCGCGAGGCAGACATTTCGCCTTTTTTCGTTATTTTATTATTGTCTAAAAATACCACGTACATTTTACTGGGCTATCAGGTATAACATTTGATGATGCTCGATTTCATTTAATCTTTTTATATGGTTATTCATGAAATTTACTGCCACGAGGGAAATAGGAAAGATCAAACAGATGTCGGTTATCGTTTGTGTCCTCACAATCGATTTCATATACGAGCGAGTAGGTATCAGTAAATAATAGTCTGCTGGACGGCCACTGATTTTTAACAAAATTATAATAAAAATCGTACCTGAGTAACTTCGATAAATCTATAACACTTAAGATCCAACGTGAATTGGCTTGTGTAGTTTTAGATTTTTTTACCAGTTTGTAGTTATGTAAGTTTAATTTATATTGCTTACCTTGCTTTTTTGACGATCGTGCCCTACCTAATATGTCACTGTTATAAGATGTAAACAATATGTTTGCTTATATTCACGTTCAAGACCTAACTTTGCTTCGGAGTCAGTGAATTTTCACATTAGAAATTATTAGTTTTCCAGAATATTGTGTTGCGTCATAGGTCGGGTGAGAATCTATATAAAAGGACATTTAGTAAAGAGTTATTCATTCCCGTTTTAAGATAACTCGGTGGAATTATGTTTAGTTGAGTTCAGATAAAATTTGAAAGAAATTATATTTTATAAATTGTTCATTGGGATTGCAAAGAGATCATTGATTTTTTGAACTAAAGCTACTACTTTGGGATTATTGCGAACTCATTATGCCATCTTGGTAAGTAAGGACATTCAAGACTACTGGAATTCATTCGGAACATTCTATACTTTTCGACATGTGATTAAACATTTATAATTATTTGGGATTTAATTTTTATAAGTGTCTCTTTAATTTTTACTTTGTAACGCAGAGAGAATATTGATTTGTTGATTTACTAGGCTTGCCGGTTTCTTTTTGTTACATATATTAAAGATCTAGAGTCATAACAGAAATTTAGGGCTCATTCGTGATCTGAATTTCTGTAAAACATCTAAGAGATAATAATAGTCGTATTTCAAATTTAAATTTGACTTTGTTTCGAAATCTTCATTGTCCCTGGTTCGCATAACCACCAAGCATTCACAATGTTATCTAACGAAAAAAACTTTCTTTCAGGTCCTACCAATCGAAGGTGAGGGTCTGCGTGAGCTTGCCAGGCCAAGATATATACAAGGAAGAAATTAAATTGCAGAGAGAGAGAGAGAGAGAGAGAGAGAGAGAGAGAGAGAGAGAGAGAGAGAGAGAGAGAGAGAGAGAGAGAGAGAGAAACCATGAAAACAAATAGAAGTGGAGCTCGCCGAGCACATTCACACACATCTTGTATGGACACAAAGTCGGGTTTTGATGTTACCAGTAATATTAGGTTAGCCCCCATTTTCAAGAATAGAAGTAATTTGGGTAAAATATATCACGTCATTCATGCATAATAGATAAAGTTGAAACGAATGTTTTCACAAACAACAAAATATGTTACAATGTATTTTATTTACATTCGAGATGTACAGAGATGATTTACTGGTACATAAATTATCTGGAAAGTAATGTATTCAGGTGATGCAGGTCATACCATATGTATGGCATCAGAATGAACAAAATCACATTGCCAATGTATGTTTACAAGTGATTTCACATTGATAACATAAATACATTACCATAGAGTAAATAGCATAAATTAGAACAGGAAACCCATCAAGGGTGTGTTTCGGATGTTTTGTTTTTAAAATTGTATGTGGCTTCAAGCAAGTCTCATCAAACACAGCTTTTTAATGTGGCATCAAGCGAGTCTCGTCAAACGCCGCTTTTTTATGTGACATCAAGCAAGACTCGTCAAACACCGCTTTTTATATGGCATCAAGCGAGTCTCGTCAAACACAGTTTGCGTCTTTATCTAAATTTCTAATGTGTTTCTCTTTTTTTGTAAACCTTTACTCCAAATCAGTAAACACTTGTTTCCACGTGTCATCTTTTGATGTTTTTTTATTACCTTGGAGCTGCTTTACCATCTTAATGAATGTTCATACACGACTTTCTGAAATCTAGTGATGTGTGCAAAAGATGAACTTCGATGTTGAAAACCTCAGACGTATGCCATCAATACTGACGACTTTCATCGACCAATGGGTAGCAGACCAATTTCTCGACAACCACAGTGTGGAATATTATGATTCTTATAGTGCCCTTTCTGTGGCAGATCACTGTCCATGACAATAAATTCTCAGTCTTCTCATTTCAATAATGTGAGATTGCAACAATTCCATTTCATTTTATGTGGACAATATTGTTTGTAGTTTCGTCATCAATAATTGATGCCTCCTCTTTGTGCATGTAGTGACTTGTTTCCGTGATGAGCTCTCTAGAAACGATGATTAAATAGAAAGATAGTTTTGCAAACATTGTGTTCATCTTTACTTTTGCTCAGAATCTTAGTGTAAATCTATTATAAAATTACATTAACTTAATTCACAATTGACAACAAATGGCACGGGCATTAGCAAAAAAGACGAAATTTGTATAAACTGCAAAACAGGTACGCAGAAATATCAACGCCCCAAACTTGGGGAACACGTATGGTCCTAACCCAGACTGAACTGGAAAGCCTCATGAGCCAGCAAGGATCTTACTAAGTATCAGAAGGGCAGGCATCAACTTCCCAGCGTCGCTCCAACATGTTATTACCTATAGTGTAGAAAGGCACACATTCCAATAAATAAGAAAATCTCTCAAAGCCACGCTAACATACCCAGAATTTCATCAATTAGTAGCTAATAATATCGATATGATATATAACAATATTCTGGATTAATTTTCCGATCCGGTGGCCTATTGGATAGAGCGTCCGCCTCGGATGCAGGCGGTCGTGGGTTTGATCCCCGGCAGAGTCA